GAACTGTTAGGGACATTTTCAGTTTCCAATTTTATTAGTTTTTTTTTCCTATGAATGTTAATAAAACTTTATTTGTTGAGTAAAAATACTTGAAATGTAATACAAGTCTCCTACTATATTGTTACAATAACATTTGAAAAATATTAAAGATCCTTATGCCGGGTTGCATAAAAGCGATGATTAAATTAGTTTAATGGTTTGTTTTAATGAATGATTAAAATACTTTTAATGAACCGATTAATGTACTGATTAATTAACCGTGTTGCATAAAAGATGTATTAAACTACTTTTGGTTTATACCTAGTATGTGGTTTTTGATAATTTTGTTATCACCAAATTGAGAAGATAATATTAATTATTAATACAAATCACGATTAAAGATATATATATATATATATATATATCTTTAAGCGTGGTACAAATTGAAAATATACTCATATAGGAATACAATAACGAGCAATAGCAGTTGAAACTCTTTTAATAGTTCTACATACAGTAGATTTATTAACTCTGATATGATCACCAATAACTGCCTGAAATTAAAATTGTATAACTAATATATTTATATCTATCGCTTTAAAATGTAATTATTTAATTAGCGAAACTATAATGTTTATGCTTATTATATTGTGATAAAATTTTATATAATTTTTACTTGAAATGTTCCAGTAGCATAATAACGAAGAGTTATTAACACTTGTACTTCTGGAGACAGTGCAACATTTCTTTTTGTTTCGTGTTTAACATCTTGAACAATAAGATGCATTAAGACACCAAAACTTTCTTTTGAAAGCCTATTAATTAAAAGATAATATTATTAGATATAGATGCAATTGCACATATACCTATATATATAATATATAAAGCAGTGGCGTGCCGAACTGACAAGCAGACCTAAGGCAAACTATACAATTTGATCCCACTCCCCACCACCAACAGTTTTTTCACTATTTTTTTTTATTATTCAAAATAATAAATGTTATTAAGTTTTTTAGGTATAAGTTGCACATCTATATTAACACTAGTGCTTGTGTGTCATGTACTTTATTAATTTGATGTGTGTAATAAACAATCATGTGCATGTACCTTAGTACCTATAGTGTTAACCCATTGATGTATATATATATATGGTATTTATACCATGTAGGTATAAAAATGTTCTATTACTTATGTTTTAATGAATTATTTTCCTAAATTATATTATTGCTAGTACTTCTATACATACAGCAACCTATTAAAAATAATATGTGCCAAATCTCTAGGTACAGTTAGTTATATGGGAGGGGAGGGGTGAGGTTTATATTAATAATTACAATTATATACTGTCCATGTTGTAATGGGGGTTTAACCCCACCCACTACCCATGTGTATGGTTTTTTCTAGGCCTATGGCTAGGCTGAAAATGCTGAATCCGGCCCTGAATATAGTTTTATACTTATATAGACCAATATATGTGTGAAACAAGTTCAAACAAAAATTAACATATGCTCATGGACGTCATCGATCTATTTTCTCTATTCAACGAGTTGTATTTTCATATGACGTGTATTTTGGTTTTTTACGACGGTTTGTAATAGGTAATCAAGTATCCCTAGAGGACGCCTAGGTATCTATGCAACGTACAAAAACCAAATTTTGTGTTCAAGAGTTCCAATTTTACGTAGATAGTAAGTAATCTTAATTAATAGAGTGAATTTACCTATTATTTAACTTAAAAGTAAGAACATTATCTGGGGCCTGGGCTTATCATATCTATTCATTATCTCGTGAGATTTTTTTTAAAATTATTTTAACATGAAACTTGAGACATTTTAATATGTGACATAAGAATTTTAAAATTGCTCATTCCTAGGTAGTTCATCTTGATTATTGGCGACCGTTACGATTATATATACTTTTATTTACTTTTATATACTTGTCTATGACGATACTATCCTACAATGGAATTTTTAAAGTAATGCCGTGTTGGTAACTGTGACGTCAGCCGATAGACAAGATGAACAGCTGGACGGTTTATACCTATTAATAAATAATTATATTCAATATACATATTTGATATTATGAAGTCGTGTACCTACTCGATTACGATACTATACGATACACGATACACCTATAGCTGATTTTATATGCTGTAATACCTATATATTATATTTTAATATTTATAATTTATGTTTATAAACGTTAAACATATTACCTACCTAAAACGGCATTTAAAATTAAAGTCATCAAATTCTTCGAGAGGATTTGATCTACCTCGGAAAAGCCTTGGTCTTGGTAGATGATACAACATATCCATGATAAATTCATCATCGGAATCCGATGTACGTATTTCCGAACTATCTGACATGATTATACCTATCTATATATTATTATATATTAATAGGTACTAAAAAATTACTGTAGATCGATAATAGATGTATAATGTTAATGTATATAAGATGCAAATTTTAATAACTAGTAGGTATAACTCGTATCGGTAGGCATATTAGCTATCTTGAGATTTGAGAAAAAATTATAATTGTGTGATAAACCGTTGCATAAAAATTTAGTGAGCCGAAATCTGATCACTAATTTAATGATCTGGTAACCTCCAGTTTAAGGAACCAATAAGTTTAATGACCGTTTAGTGAGCCATTAAATAATTTATTCATTCAATAGCGCGCTATTGGTTCATTAAATGTTTAATGAACGTTTATGCAACCCGGCATAGGTCACAGGTTTTTTTTATAATCATTTAAAGTTCAAAAATTGACAAAATATAGAAAAATCACGAAAATTAGCAAAATATTTTGAGTTGAGAATTCATAAAAAATTTTCTTTTTAAATCTAAGATTTGAAAATTTAATACAAGATTACTCATAAGTCATAAGTTTAACTACCTTTATCAAAAAAAAAAAAATGTCTACATACAATTCAAATTAAATTTTTATGAGCGTTTGAAGTTCATTTTTTTACAATATTGGATATTCACTTGATTTCTCATGTAGCGGTTTTCTTATTTTATTGTTATTCAAAAACGGACAACAGTAGATCTAGATACATGACAATTTTACTGAATGTTTATATTTTCATTTTCTCTACACCACAAAATTTTGAAAATATTTTGACTTTTTTTGAGCTGTTTACGGACATTGTCAATTTTAAATTTTTTTAGTTTTTTTTTCTATAGATATCAAATGGTTGTTTACGAACATTTTCAGTTTCCAATTTTATTAGTCTTTTTTTCTATGAATGTCAATAAAACTTATTTTGTGTCTGTGTGCACGATAAGTAGTCGAAATATTGCTTCGATTTTCAACTTCAGTATCTTGTTCGATGGGAAAGTGAATCTTGTTGGTGTAAAGGGGAGGTCAAAGCGTTTCGAAGTGTTTAAAAGCGCCGAGAAAAACCATAGCCATTTATAAACAAAAATGTCCATCTTAAATCTCAAAATCACTGTTTGATAACCTCTCTGGGTTGGACCTCTTATTATACCTCTTTTTTGCTTCAAAATGTAGAATATTATATAATTATCTTCTTCACCAAGTTGTAATATATCTTCGTAGGTAACAAATTGCATCGCAATCGGATGAACGGTGAAATTAATTATTTTTGTTGTCATAATGATTTGAACTTAGATTAAAACGATGATGAACTATGATATACGATTATTTGTGTAATTGTATTATACCATTGTAGTGCTATAAAATAAACCAGTATTTATAAACAATGATTATATGTATAATGTATAGTACCTATATATATATTATATACATCCATTATCCACATTAAGACACATCGTATATTCTACATTAATTATAAAGTCTATTGCAGCTGTTTACATATGATTAAAACACATATTATACCGCTACAGTTAATCTTAATAGCTTAATAGTTAATAGATATTTTAAAATTGAAATTTAGTTCGATATTTTTTATGGTTTGTTCTTCAAATTTTAATATGGATATCGCTGGTTTAACTAGTTAGTTTAACCGGAATTGGATATTCAGAGAATTTTCTAGCCTTAGCCATACACATATAATATATTTTATACTTTTTGAACTACAAATTAACTGTGGTTTTAACGAAATTTGAACTTTAAATGCTTATAAAAAATGACCATGATACCTATGTTAATATTTTACAGCTATAATAAAAACAAACGTACTACATTGTTAAGATTTTTGATCGGATAAATAATTTTTTATTGACATTTATAGAAAAAAAAATTTTAATTATTCGAATACAATCCAAGTGAGGACGGTATAACCAAGCTGGTTACCAAACAATTTTAACAAATTTTCATTTTTTTTCTCTAATTATTTTAAAAAGTATTGAGCATTTTCAATTTCGAAATCCTAGTCCTAGAAGTACCAACTAGATCCAATTTGCTTCCAAAAATATACATCAGACACCGAAGTTTATGATCAGAGCATTTTTGCTACTAGAAAAGTTGAGAAGTTACAAACATTTTAAAATACCTCAAAATCTCAAATAAACGTCTGAAATTATTAGACTGGACAAAATCAAAACAAAATTGTAACTTATTTTCAAGCCCCCCCCCCTCACCAATGAAAAATCCCGCGTACGGCCATGTCACCGACAATTAATATACTTTGGAAGAAATATATCATGGAACAAAAAACAGTGGTCCCGGTCGCGGTCTCACTATCATCGTTATCATATTGTTATGCGTACACAACAAATTATTCGTGTTTACGGTTTAATTACCACCCGCAACTTACAGCGGTACACGGCTTCGTTAATCTATGCCGCATTCATTGCCGAGTTTCATATTCGTAACAGACGTTTTAGAATTTTACTGTAGTTCATGATTTTTCATTACTATTAATATTTAATTATATAATCACGTAGGCGGGTACTAGGTACGTATTTTGTAAATTCAACGTTCGTTCATACGATTATGTTCGTGATATTAATATTGGGCGATTCGGTGTTTTGATTTTTGTTCAGATTAATTTCCACTCCCAGAGTCCATAATTGCCGCACCAGTCGAAACATGGACAGGATTATTGAGATATCGTCAGTGTTTGTTGATCTATTTAACAGCTCGGCCGGCAACCAAGCCTCCGCTGACGAATCTGATTTACCGATTCCTGTACAACTTCAGGAGATAACCGAAGATTATATACAGAAAATCTTGACTGCATGCTGTAGTCAACAAGCTGCAGGTACCCCGGGATTTCAGAGCGGGTCGGTTGTTGGTTCATCAGGATTGCGCGTTAATGAATTTAAGCCCAGTAAGTATAACAGCATCATAATTACCAATAAAATGTAATTATTGTAAGTACCTACCAGGTATTGGTTTATAGACATAATTTTGTTTGGGTTTTTTCAGATCTTGACTGGTTCAATTGTACAAAACCTTTATTATTCAACAAAGATCTTAAAGGCAAACTTGTTCTACTGGATTTTTTCACTTATTGCTGTGTGAATTGTTTGCATATACTACCTGTTCTACATAGCTTACAACAGCGTTTTACGTGTGAAGATGGTTTGGTGATTGTAAGTACAAATTTTCAATACTCCTTATTAAAATAAAAGACCATGAATATTGCGAAATACCTATCAAGTGACTATCAAACATTAGTTTTTTTTTCATGAGCTTGTATTATTTATTCCCTACATAATAATCATTGGTCTATAATCATTACTACAATTCTACATCTAAAAAATGTATATTATTATTAATCTCAGAATGTAATACACTATGCTCTATTCGGAATAAGAACATGCTTTGGCAGCTACCAGTTTTTCCCCCAATATGCCCATGCACACAACTCGCCCGCCAAAGCCTGTTCTTATTCCGAATAGACTAAAGGTTTAACTTTCTGATAAAACTGCTGGTAAAATATTTTAATTCTAAAGTCTTAGACTTGATCAATGTTTGGATGCATACCGACTTAGTCCCAATAAAACCTTTTTGACTCCCTTTAAATTCAAAATATAATTCTAATTTAGTCCATGTTTAAATACTATATGAGTCCTGTCAAAGCTTAAAAAATAACAACTTCCTTCCCATTAACTCACCATCCCAGACTTGTCTGTAACAAAAAATATCTATATTTATTTTCAGTTATTTTATTTTTTGTGTTAATTTTGAAATAATTGTTTAATATGTGTGACATATTATTTATAATATAGTTGTACTTGAAATATTGGGTAATAATTAAATTGAATTTCTTATATTGGTAAAAATGTATGAGATAAACTTACGTTTATTGATTTTATATTATACTCTATTAGTATATTTTCGTTTACCAATCATGGATCAATTGGTATAAATTTTGTTTTAACCAGGAAATCAATTAGTATATTATTCCTTTCCTGATTAGAGACACTATTAGTATGCACCGTAATGTTCATTTACAAATACCGAATTAATTTAAATTAAGTTAATATACTGAAAAGATTGATGCTTGGACATATACTCTGTTCAAAATAAAAAACCTAAACGGTGGCCAGCTACTGAGCAAGGGCGTGGCTTTGTTTTGTGGCAGCGCCCGAAAGGTTAGGTAGCTAATTGAAAAACGTTTTATTTTTTGATACCAATAAAGCGTCTATTATACTGAGCGAATTTACTCGCTAGTTGTTGGCGAACAAAGTAGCGCGTGTGTGAGTGTGTAGCGACCTGTCCAATTACATTGTATGATTAAATTTGCTCTACTTATTACTTTAGTTGCAGCGAGTTAATTCGCAGTGATTAGCGAGTAAATTCACTCAGTGTAATTGACGCTTAATTTTGTGTGAATATTACATTTAAGTCTTAAAACAATACTGCATTTGTCTAACTTGATATGGAAATCTTTACATAAATACATAATATAAGGTGTATTGAAAACTATAGAAAGCATTCTATTTACAATTTTTTTTTTTGTTATTGAGTTTCATTTTTAACTATATAACAACAAATTAGTTTAATTATTTAAGTTCTAATGAATTAAGATAGCAATGGTTTTATTAAATTAAAGGTTTTGATTTTAATAAGAATTAATTAGTGTAGTTCAATTTCTTTAAAAATGTTAATATTACGTGTAGTAAATTTTATAAATTTAAATATTACATAAAAGTTAGTCAAATGTTTAATCTTAAGAGGATGTCAGTCCACTATTTGTTTTCTCTCTCTGACCCACGCGCAACATAGACAAAACACATTTACGCAGAAACATTTTTTCTATGTTTTTAAGTAATCTTAGAGTAAAATCACCCATTACAAAAGAGATAGAGAATAATATTTTTGAAGGAATGTCATATCGATTTGTCTAAATATTGTCTCAAAACAATTTAAACATCATTTTAATGTACAACTTTTTTTGTTTATTTTGAAAGTCGAATACAAAGTCAAATAACAATAAAATATAAAATCGATATGACATTCCCTCAAAAATATTATTCTCTATCTTTTTTGTAATAGGTGATTTTACTCTAAGATTACTTAAAACATAGAAAAAATGATTCTGCGTTCAAGCGTTTTGTCTATGCTGCGCGTGGGCCAGAGAGAGAAAACAAATAGTGCGCTGACATCCTCTTAAGTCTTTTAAAATAAAACATTAACACTGTTTATAATACATTATTATAATGTATTATAAGAATACATAAAATCTTGCAATTTCCAGCTTTGCTGATGTATGTTAATTTAACAATTGTTAATAACCTTTGCAGATTGGTGTGCATAGTGCAAAATTTCCAAATGAACAACAATCTGTAAATGTACATCACGCTATTCAGAAATATTCAATTGAACATTGTGTTGTAAATGACACAGATGGTACAATGTGGAATGATTTAGCTGTATGCTGTTGGCCTACTTTAGTACTCATTGGTAATATATAATTAATTACAAACCACAAAAAATATGTACCTATATAATAATTAAGTACAAAAAAAAAACAAAACAAAAATGTTATTGTTAATGAGTAATTGTGATAATAATTTTATTTAAAGGACCTAATGGTGAACCCATGCTTGTGGTTCAAGGAGAAGAATTTCACTCACAACTATTGCCTACGTTTATTGAAACAGCTTTACAAATTCTCCGCCAAGCATCTATGATAAGCTCACATTACATACCAGAAATTGTTCCAGGCCGTACAACTTTACAGTCATTAGCTACAAGCAAACAGTCATCTGTTACAAAACAACATCTACTTTATCCTGGTAAGGTGTTTGCATACACTAAAAAATTGAAGAAGAGGAAGAATAATGGCAATGAAACTTTAAACAGTTCTAATTTAAATTACCGACACAATGGTAAAATATTAATAGCTATTGCTGATAGTGGCCACCATAGAATAGTTATTAGTACTGTACAAGGTCGTGTTAAGGTAATATATTTATAAACTTATAATATAATGATTTATTAAGAGAAAAAAATAAAAATATTACCTACATAAATAAAATTTTTTTTTTAATTTTTAAACAGCATGTCATTGGTGGCGGTGGATTTGGTCTTTTTCCATCTACTACTAAGAAAGGATTCAAGGATGGAAATTTCACAGAAGCTTTATTTCACAGTCCTCAAGGCATATGCTTCCAAAATGCTCATATTCTATTTGTGTGTGACTCAGAAAATCATGCTATTCGTATGGTAACCTTACTAAGCCTTCTATGAAGATTTTTGATATTTCTAACATAATTAAAATTAAAAAACGAAATTTACCTTAACTAACTTATTTACAGATTGATTTAAAAGAAAAGACTGTTAAAACTGTAGCTGGAAATGGGAAAAAAGGCCATGATAAATATGGAGGCCAAATGTGGAATTCTCAAATCCTGAATACCCCTTGGGATGTAGTATATTACAAGCGTAAAGCACGTCCTCAATATCAACAGCAATACACACCACAACCATACACACCAAATCAAAATTATCAACAACTACAACAGTCTACTTCTGGACCAACACCATCCCCAGTGCGCTGTTTATTAATTGCAATGGCTGGTTTACATCAAATATGGGCCCTTTATTTAGATAAGACAAGTACTAGTACTTGCTCAAGCATGAAATCAAAGTAAGAATCATATCATCTTAATATTTAATAATGAATTGAATCTTCAACTGTATATTATGTTATAACTAGGGCTGGGAATGTAATGCCCTATAAAACTTTAAAAAATGCTTTAATGCCCTAAAAATTCTAAATAATGCACTAAAAAAATGCAGTTAAATTGTTATTATTTTTAATAAATTGTAAAATATGAGTGATAAAAAAAAGTGATTAAAATAATTTTTATGTGGGCTAAACTTCAACTTGGATTTCTGAAAAAACAATAATTTCCTCATATTATTCTATTTTGATATTATATTATATTCATTTTACTGTACACTCTGAACTGTTACACTGAATCACCATAGATTGCTTAAGATTTTCGAATAAAAACGATCTTCTGTATCTCCCAGTAAATTTTTGTAGATGGAGAAGCTCCTTTTTCAACGTCTTCCAATGTGATGGATGAATGTTTAAAGAACGCCACATACTGTTATATAAAAATATATAAATTTATATAAAACTCGCGTTGGTGTGTAAAATCTTGAAATAAAATTTCAAGTTTGAATTTTGGACCCAAAAACTCCAATAATGCCCTAAAAATTAAGAAAATAACGTTAAAATAAAAAATTGTCAAAAAATGCAAGATAAATTTTCTTATTCTTGTTCAAAAGTACATGTTACGGATTTGTGACCAGGCGAGAAACGCCCAGCAACCTCTGAAAATAAATTAAAGGTGCATCAAAATCCTAGCCCTAATTATAACAAACAAATATACTTGTATGCAATGCTAAACCATTTCACAATTTATTATTAGTTTTAATTATACGTCTTACCCATGGCATCTGTACCTGTGTTGGAAATAATATGGAATAGTTACGATACACGAGTATATCTATTTATTGGATATGTGTTGTGGTATATTTCTGTGCCACTATTAAACTAAAAATTAAGTAATTTAGTAATAGATATACAAAAAAATTAATACATTTTATAATAAATATATCAATTTTTTTGAGTGAAAATTAACTGGAAATTATAATAATTAATTAAACTTTTAGATGGTGTTCCAAAGGATTGTGTACTATGGTGGCTGGAACAGGCAAAGAAGAAAATAGAAATAATTCTTACAATGGTCAACGTGCTTCGTTTGCTCAACCCTCTGGATTATGTTTAACTAAGCCATCATCTCGTATTGGGTCTGGATCAAATGGGTCCGATCCTTCTTTATATATTGCTGATAGTGAAAGTTCATCAATCAGGCGTATGTATTTAGATTCAATGGGAAAATATAGGGTACTGAATGTAGCTGGCGGAAGTCCTGATCCAACCGTGAGTTGTTTCAAATTTTGTATTGAGAATTTGTTTGAACAAATATTTAAATAATTATTATTTAAATAATTTTATGTATATTATACCAACATTTTGCATCTACATTAGTTAAAGCTTCTAAAAATGTAAGAACGCTAATTTTATAAGTAATAAACATATATTTTATAGGATCTTTTCAGCTATGGTGACATTGATGGTGGTGCTGGTGCCAATTCACGTTTACAACATCCAATGGATGTAGCATGGAATCATAAACGTAACATTCTGTATGTAGCCGATTCATACAACCATAAAATTAAATATGTTACTGGGTTATCGGACAGTCATAAGCAAAATCACTATAATAACGGTGGTGGAAACACAACAACTGGGGGCATTCCTGGCTCTACGGGTGGATCTGTACACACATTACCATTACCTGTTAAGGTGTGTCTCATATATAAGATAAATAATTACTATAATGTTGACTGAATATTTTGAAAGCTTTTAAAATATAAATTTCCCCAGTCACACCAGACTTTTTGAATTGAAACTTTAATACCTATGTTGAATTCATTTTATATTGGTTAAAATATTTTTTTTTAAATAAATAATATTCAATATAGCCATAGGTACAAAGTTGTGAATATATTTATGACAAAATAACAATAATATTAACACAATATTTCATTTTCGAACAAATTATTATTATTAATTAAAAATAACATAGGTATCATTAAATAATCATTTATGTTATGTATATTAGTTTTTTTTTTTTTTTGAACTTACACACAACTATGGCTATTAACATTTTGTAAGGTGTTTACGGTTGGTTGAGGAACATATGTATGTGGGGCGAGAAATTTTCACTAAAAACCCGGGTGGTCATCCATCCGGGAACTAGCCACATCGGTCGTTTCTAGACCTCACAATATATTAGTGACTGAATCCAACTACCGAGCCACGCCAGGCCCCAATATAATTTTTATCGGTACTTTTCTGTTATCCCTACTACCGCTCGATGCCACGACTACCACGACTACTCAATTCTGTTAACTCGACCACTACAGTACCTACTATCCCGATAGTTCCGTATTTTTAATATATAATACAGTAATGCACATGAATTGCCATTTATATAATAATGTGAATTCATGCAGAAGTAAATACCTACCTTCACTGGATGGTTTCTTCCCTCAAGACACTCAAGCCATTACACTGAATTTAATTTTAAAAAAAAATATACATTATGCTCTTTGTACTTTTTTTTAGTATAGATTATATAAGTTCTAGATAACAAAAAAAAAAAAAATAATAATAATGTATAATATTAGTATAACGTTCATTAATACAATTATAATCAGTTATCAAATAAATGATCACAGTAGCGGAGAGTTATAATATAAAATAATAAAATATAAAATCATCAAAATTATCACAAAACGTCAAATTAAAAATTCTCATAAAATCATCAAGATATTAAATATATATTTAGGTACATATATATATAAATAAAAGGTGGACAAGTGGGTACCGCTTTGCTGTACAGTAGTTGTCGAGTATGTCATTGTAATGCGGATGTGTTATATTTAAATTCAATGATAAATCATTGGATACGAAAAACGATTCTGAGCGGAGACGGTGAGTTACGCCTAGCAAGTGGCGCCGAACACGTATGGCTACTCTGGTAAATACCACATAACTTTTGTAGGTGGTGGATGGATAGGTGGGTGACTGCTTAGTGCTTAGTGCTTTAAGGTCTTGTTGAATTTGATAAATTACTACTAAATATAAAATATCGTAAAAATTATATATTCAAACGCTCATAAAAAGTAATTATGATAAAAATGGTCTATGGACGATTAAAATATGAACTGTATCGGTGAGGTATTTTTATATTTATATTCATGTTTATGATTTATTATTGATTTTATCTAAATCGGCGTCGGCTAGGTGGAAAACAGAATTGAGACTCGTGGTAGTATAACAGAAAAGTACCTTTTTATCTTATTTTAAGTTTTAAAAGTTTAACTTAGTTATCGATTTTTCTAAAATTGAATATAGAAAGTGTATAAAATAGATAATATTAATTACATCTTTATATTTTACAGTTAAATGAACCCAGTGGATTGCATTTTATTGAAAACCCTCAAGATGGATCCAGTCTATTATTGATTGCTGATACAAATAATCATTCTGTTTGGGTGTATAACTTTGATACTTATGTTATTAAAAAGGTAAAATAATACACATTAAGTTTAACAAACATTTAAATATTTTATCTTATCTATAATTTGAATTTTTTTAGTGATAGTATTATTAATCATTAATATTTTTATTAACAAAATTAGCTACAATTGGAATTTCCAAAAATTCTTGAATCATCGCCATCAAATGTGGTTGGAACAGCCCAAATTAGATTAAATAGACGGACTGGAGGGCAACTTATGTTACGCGGACGCGTTACCCTAGGAAGCAGTTCTGGAACTGAAGTGTTGCAAACTCTAGAAGATGAACCACATTTGAATTGGACCCTTCAACTACCAGGTATATTTTATCATATAAATCAAGTTACTGATTTCACAATAACTTATATTTTAAGCCAAGAAATCAGATAAAATAAAGGGAAATATGCAGATATTTGAGCTTAAGTGGACGAATTACATTCTAAATAATGAAACAAAAAAAAAATATTGCCACTAATAATTTACTAGGAAATACATTTATTTTTCAAATTACGTACATCATGTATGTACTTATTTAATTTATGGTTAATTATGTAGCTTATTTTTGAGTAACTACTCTTGATACATACTTAAGTGTAAAATGTTTAAATCATATTTAAACATGGCTGCATACTCATATATTTTAAGAAGTTATATTAGGTACTAAGTTTTTGGTTTATTAATTAAGGAGCCCCGCTACTGCCTTCAATTGTAGCTGAAAATACCTAAAGTATTAACAAAATTAAAGTTAGTAAACATTGTCCGATTTTGACTCTGAAAAAAAAATTTGAACTCGCTAGAAAATTGTCTATAGATCCTACGAAGCACTTTGTAAATACTAAATTTTATACTATTGTGATTGAAAACATGAAAATATGAACTTTTTCAAATCACAATTAAAATTAATATTTAAAACGGAAAATGTTTCGTACGATCTACAAACATTTTTCTGCTGAATTCAAATATTTTTTTAGAATCAAAATCAGACAACGTTGACTAGCTTTAATTTTTTCAAAACAGATGTATGTTTTTGTAAAATTTGTTTAGTGAAATTAATATGTTTATTGAGTTATTGACATGTGAAATGCGCGTACAAGAGAGGATACCCTCATTTATTCACTCACACTAATAATCATTTACAACTAACACATAGATCCTGGGTGGCTATGAGACCCCTTTAAACAATGTTTCCCGGTTTGAAGTGACCGGCCGACGTCATATGAAAGTATACCCAAAATGATGAAAAAATACCCTTTAAACAATGGGTCTAACTTTTTGTTTTTTAAGTTTTTAGCAGTTAACTTTTTTTTTATCAAAACCAAACCTATCATACATTTTTTTATGTATCTTCGAAACTAATAAACAATTTGACGTATTTTTTTTTTTATCTTAAAGCTTATTTAAGTGTTATATCAACCATTTATGCAATTAAACCAGAAATGTGCAAATTATTTTTATTAATTTGAAAAAGTAATTATTTTTATCAACAATTAATATTTTTAAAAGTAAATCGCTTATAACTCCAAAAAATGTAGTATTTAGTATGGGTATTTTTCTTATTGTATTATTGTACTGAATAATACCTAGAATAAATTAAAAGTTTGGTTTTAGTATCTTCCATGATTGTAGAATTATCCGCTGTCGTTACAATCTTGATTTTCTTAGAATCGAGTATCTGTCGTTAATTGGTTGTTAATCGTTTAATTTTATTTTATTCGGTACATTTTTATTGTACATCACCCAGGGACACATTGTATATATATTTGGTATTGAAAAATGTACTGTTGATAGATTAATTTTTAAAACCTGTTACTCATTTCATTAAATTATTTTAATATTTTAATTACTTTAATAACATTTTGTGTTTAATAAAATATCTCTATTATTTAGATTCAACATGGGAGTCAAAAGAAATTAAATCAAATACCTCCATATCAGCTGTAATAGGAGCAGCAGCTGATTTTAAGTACTTAATTCGTATACCAAAACAAGAATGGGAAGAAGACAAAAATGATGAAAATGCTGATGATATAACATCTAGAGATGGGAACAAACGGTGGAATGATAAATATAATCAGGAATTTGAAAATGAATCTGATGAAGATTCAGAAGATGAATCTGATGATGAAGAGGAAGTTGTTATATTAAGATGTCAAACAAATGTTTGTCAAGATAACGATAAATGTGTTCCTGTAGAATTTGATTTTGTGGTGCGTGTTCGGTATGGCGATGAAGAAAATACTCCTCAAGCGGCTGATACTTATTTCCCTTATACTCTTCCATATAATAAGAGTAGCACCAAATTATTAAATAGAGCATCTTCTGAAATTAAATCTCATGCTCCAACATGTAGTGTGGATTCTCCAATGGAATTGGCAAATAATACGTCTTCATCAACAACTTCTAATAACTAATCTTTTCAACTAATTGAATATTATATTTACAATTGTAGTCTTAAACTAAATATTAATAAATACTACACAAATAACTTTTCATTCTTTAACGCAATTTTAATTTAAATTAACTGTTTTAATGTGATTTTATAATTATATATCGACTATATTATATATTACCCTCTGTTAGATACATATTATGAGCTTTGTATTTTTGTATGAATAACATTGAATTATTGTGTATGTTACGTTCTATTAGTGATATCTATAGATTCTGCATTATTTTTGTTTCTTAAATTCTTAGTTAATAATCTTTCATATTTTGTGTTCATAATAAATTGGAATTAATTTTAAAAGTTTTTATTTTTTGTAATTTTTTCTATGATTTAAAATATTTCTAAATATTAAAAATAATATTTGATATTTATAAGTTATATCTCATTCATGTTTAATGTTATATATTGTGTATTTGTGTAGGTACCTCACCGTACACGGGGCACGAGCATACATTTATAGACTATAAGTTGTAATACACGTCTTTTACGTCTTTTGTATAGGCTTAAGTGGGTATATAACATTATTCTGGATGTCTAGATATAACTTATTATAGTTATTATCTACTTGGCTATTTATTAACCAGTATAGAATATAGATTGATATTTTATAAAACAAAAGTTGATGACTGTTTAATTTCCATACGAAATTCAGTATTTCAGACTTCATTACTGTATTAAACTATAGCCGACCCGTCACAGCTTTGCCTGTGATTGGCTTTATATTTACTTATGAATAACATTGAATTATTGTGTATGTTACGTTCTATTAGTGATATCTATAAATTCTGCATTATTTTTGATTCTTAAATTTTTAGTTAATAATATTTCATATTTTGTGTTCATAATAAATTGGAATTAATTTTAAAAGTTTTTATTTTTTGTAATTTTCTCTATGATTTTAAAGAATATTTAAAAAAAGTAATTATAGATTGATAAGAATTAGATGTATTATTTCTTATTTTTTTGTGGTTTAAATTGTGCATAGATAATTGACATCTAAAACTTAAATAATGAATGTTTAATGTGTTATTTATTGATAAATAATAAAACATATTTTTAAAATAAAACTATTCATTTGTAGTAAAAAATAATTTACATATTATATAGTTTTTTTTTATTTTTCCTAGTAGTAATCGTCTATTACATCTATTACATCATATGCATATTCCAACAAGTCTTATTAAATATAAACTTCATTGATTTAAGTTCTAAGTGTATATTTTGTTATATTTGTATTTCAAGTAGATTTTTTTTTAAAAATGACACAAATGTCTTTTTCATTTTTGATACAACTATAATTTTTGTATATAATAAAAATAATAATAATAATGGCCATTTATGTTATATTTATTACTTTTCTTCCCTATAACTTCCTTTAAAATTCTCCAAATAGATTTTGATTCATTACCAGCTCCATCTCTCTTTTTTTAATTTTATTTATTATAAATAATTAGGAAAATTCAAATTGTAGGGATTTGTTATTTTAATTTAAAGAGTCAAAATTTTATTATGTATAAAAAATTATTGTATAACATTTTGTAAAAATGTCAAGTATCTACGGTTATTCATTTTTGATTTAGGTACACCATAAAAACAAAATCGTTTTTCAAATATTGATCTTACATACATTATACATACATATTAGTGTAATATACTTATTATTGATATATGTTGCAGTCAGCAGTTATATAGTATTATAATAATAATTCTGTAAATTTTTAATACGGAATATTGTTAGTGGCTCTGTAGGAATACGGTGAAGAGCGTCCAGCAGAATGAGATCCTGGTGGTTTCGGATGGTAAAACAACAGACTGCATCAATAATGTTCTTTTTTTTTTAACTGAATTTAATAAAAAATAATAATAACATAATATTTTATATTAATAAAATGATATTTCTTTAATATTCATCCTAATTATATTGTAATTATTATTAAGAAAACAATAGACACCAATGACTTACTAGCGACTTCTGTGATTTTGTATATATTTGGGAAAATTGGTTTCACGTGCATCACATAAAAAAACCAATGATTGTTTTTTGACAATTAATACATGTTGTAGGTAATTTGAGAAATACTGACTATCTTATTAGATTTAATTATTTAAATATAGATATAAACACGTGAATTACATAAAAATGGCTGGGATTTTCATATTTGTTTTTATAAAAGAACTTGGGAGCTATTAGAAAGACTAATTAGTGGATTTTATTTGTTTACCGACCCTTTAAAACTATGTAATAGCTAAACTAATAACTAAGGTCTAAGACATAAGTAATAGTGGTGAAACATTTTGACTCGATATCTTAATCGACAATGAGGTACACAAGTACCACTCATACACTACTGTAGACTGTACACTGTAGTACTGTACTGCAAAGAGTTACGAATATGCCCCATTTTATTTAGACTAACCTACAGAATATAGGTACCAGCTGGTGGGTTTATATTACAAGATATGAGAAATTTTAGGTCCTTCACTGATGTCTAAAAGCGAAAACATTACTTATAAGTTATAGGTATAGTAATTTATTATAATTTACAAAAATAACAATAATATACTCAGTTAAAAATTAAATTCATCTCTAATAATTTATTTTTTTATTTCTTTGGTACCAGGGTGGCATGAACTAGGGTGATTACTTTTCTTCAGTTTTACGTCGGCGGCGGTGTAGTTCTCGTTCAACGGCTACCACATCACGTAGGTGTAATCCTGTTACTTATATTCTTTATAATACTTTACACTTTATAATATGCTTTCACAATGTTCAGCGGTTTTGTTTTATCTTTTTTTTAAATTACGCTCATTATCGATATGTAAAAAAATTTCCGAATGTGGTTCGCCAGTCTTCGACGGATAGGTGCGGGAGCAATCCGGGATAGTATACATGTGAACCTGTGAGCTGTTTTAGATTTTTAGATAGCAATTTTAGATCTTTATAAATAATTTGTTTAATCAATCAAATTTTAACAAGATTATTTCTAGCTTTTCATTACAAAACAGATATTAATTTAGCTTTTCAAAGAATTATTAATATAAATCGCAATATTAATTTCGGATAACTAATTCGTTCATTTAATGCTGATGGAACATCAATATTTTTTATTATAATTTATATTCATATTAGACGAGGAATTTATATAAATTAATTTGACTTTAAAATAACATGAATTATTGGAGTATTATTATTACTATTTACTATAATAACATATATCTAAGCTGTGGTAGCCCGGTAGTTAGGTACGACAAATATCCGTATGGCTACCCATTATACAAAATACTAAATTAAATTCGTATGCGAACCAATATAAAATAAGCATATATATATTATAATATTATAATAACTACCTACTGGCGTAGTCCGTAAGAATAATATGCCTTAATTTTTTCTTATATTGTATGATCATCGTGAGGGTTTTTTTAAAATTAAAATTGCGAGTCAAAAATAGTTCACACCAAACATTTTTTTTAAAAAGTTTTATTGCCTTGAAATTTTAAATATAACACACTTTATATATAGGTACTACAAAAAAATAATTTAATCTTAAAAAAAAAATTAAGAAAAAACTCAAGGTTTTACGTAAAAACAGTTTTCGACAAAATTGGTTTTCTTTTTTTGTTGTAAGTTGTAACTCAAACACAATTAATTTTGAATACTTAAAATTTTCATAAGGTAACATTAGCATTTTCTATAATAATATATAGGTAGGTATATAATATGGTATATTTTTCAAAATATTTTTACTATATTTTATGAGTTAAATATAGGTACATTATATCTATTATCGATTTTTTTTTTTTGTTTTACTTCTATTACCTTATAGGCTATAATGATAAAAAAAAGTTGAAAATCAATTTCAAAGTTCCTCTCCTGATAAGCTATTATTAAAGATATTTAAAAATATTTATGATAGGTACAAAGACATATATTTTTTTTTAATCAATTTAATACGTTTATCGATGTATAATCGGGATTCTTGACAATAACTTGAGAGTTCACCATTGTTGTATGGAGTAGTCAGTAGATCCAGATTTTTATGGTTTTTTAATAGGTACATAGTTGAACTAAGATCCTTAGTCACAGGTTTTTTTTATAAGCATTTATAAAGTTCAAAAATTGACAAAATATGGAAAAATTAGCAAATTATTTTGAGTTGAGAATTCATAAAAAATTTTCTTTTTAAATCTAAGATTTGAAAATTTAATACAAGATTACTCATAAGTTTATCTACCTTTATCAAAAAAAAAAATGTCTTTAAGCAATTCAAATTAAATTTTTATGAGCGTTTGAAGTTCATATTTTTACAATATTGGATATACACTTGATTTCTCATGTAGCGGTTTTCTTATTTTATTGTTATTCAAAAACGGACAACAGTAGATACTAGATACATGACAATTTTACTGAATGTTTATATTTTCATTTTCTCTGCACCATACAATTTTGAAAATATTTTGACTCTTTTTGAGCTGTTTACGGACATTGTAAATTTTAAATTTTTTTAGTTTTTTTTTTTCTATATAATATATCAAATGGTTGTTTACAGTTTACGGACATTTTCAGTTCCAATTTTATTAGTCTTTTAGATTCTGAGTGGAACGATGAATGTATTGATTTTACAATGATGTGTGTTTTTTTATTTATTTTTTTTTTATTTTTGTGTCTGTGTACACGATAAGTAGTCGAAATAATGCTTCGATTTTCGACTTCAGTATCTATTGTTCGATTGGAAAGTGAATATCGTTGGTGCATTGAGGAGGTCAAAATTTAAATTTCCCAGTAGTTTTCAAAAGCGCGGGGAAAAACAAAAGAAAAATTAAGGAAAAACGGGAATTTTTACGAAAAATCTGTTTTTGAGAAAATCGATTTTGGTTTTTAGTGTAACTTTAAAACAAATGAAATTTTCAGTGGTTGTTTATATTTGCATTTTCTATACACGATAACATTGTCAAAATATTTTGATTTATTTTGAACTGTTTAGGGACATTTTCAGTTTCCAATTTTATTAGTTTTTTTTCTTATGAATATCAATAAAAATTTATTTATTGAGTAAAAATACTTGAAAATTTAATACAAGGCTCCAAATCACGAAAATCACGAAAATTAGCAAATTATTTTGAGTTAAGAATTCGTAAAAATTTTTCTTTTTAAATCTAAGATTTTAAAATGTAATACAAGATTCTTTATAAGATTATCTACCTTTATCAAAAAAAAAAAATGTCTATAAGAAAGTCAAGATAGATTTAATAATATTATTCGTGGGTACTTGAAACTTCTAAAGTGTACTATTATATATCTATGATAGTATCACGGATTTTGTTGATGTATAACGCAGGGGCGTCTCCAGACTTTGGCTATGGGGGGGGCGAAATAGTAAAAATATTATTAATTTACATGGGATTCAGATACTGAGTGTTATGATGTATCATAAACATCTTTTATTCTAAGCAAAGCGGTCTATTATCTTGTCACTGAAAATGACAAAATGACAAAAATGACAAAATGACAAATATTGGAAATAGGTTATCAAGAATATAGCCGGGAATTATTATCAATAATAATTGTTATCACTTATCTCTCAAGGAGTGTGTTAACCACGGACCACGATTTAAGATATACCTTTAAGGTAAACAGAATCTTGTGTTAACCACGGTTGTAGCAGCTACAGCACCTACGAATCACACATCATAACAAGATAACATGATAACATGATAATTGATAACAAGATGAACAAAAAAAAAATATTTTATTTAAATAATATAAACTATAAAATTAACCAATAATTACTATGTATGTAATTCTATACTCTATCCAACTCACGGGGGGGGCGGTCGCCCCCTTCGCCCCCCCCACAAGGACGCCCCTGGTATAACGCGTTATAAGTACCTAATGGATATTGTGATATGATTAATTTGGAATTTATTATAGATACCTATTATAGGTCAAATTTTGGTTTAGTAGGTACCATAGATATGTATATAATATGTCTTATACCTAGACTGACTACCGTCTCCGCTCAGAATCGTTTTTCTTATACCTATACAATGATATTATATCGTTGAATTCAAATTTAATATCATCCATTATCCAGTGACCCACTTGTAGGTACCTTACTGTACAGCAGAGCGACACCCACTTGCCCACCTTTTTTAGTTTTTTCTTACCAAAATTGTAATATGTTTTATGCATTTTTCAAATATAATATAAAAATGTAGCTGCATATATTTAAGCATATTTTGACAATTTCGACTGCATACTTCGATAATTTTTAGTGCAACAAGTCATGTCCCGAACTATAAATTTATTTATATACGAAAACTGTAAAAACTTGGTTTTAATCTATACTTAAACACCCCCCTTTGGCCATTTCATAATCCTGGCTACGCCACTGCTTACATGTACCCATCACACGTCAGGTAGTACTGACTACTGGGGTCTGGGATGGACCCGGGAGAATTTATATTCACCTGAATTTAGGTTTTTACAGGTAATAAAAAAGTACCGGTTTTATTTACATGAAAAAGGCTTAAAACAACAATATTATTATATTGTTATTGTTGTTATTTCCCACATTATACGATATAAAATACTATTAGGAATTATGTAAATTCATGGGCCGATAGTATGACAACGAGAGGGCCGCTATTGGTACATGAAAGTCGTCGTCGACGGCGGTGCCGCTGAATTTTGGGCACGTCGTCATTACACGCCGTAGGTCATGCCCTTCGACCGCGACGGTGGCGGCTACTAGTGGCCGCCGTCGTCGAATTTTCGTATGTAGAAACGTCGTTTGTTGTAATTCCATCTCAACGATACTAATCGTATTGTATTCAAACGGTTATTTGCAGACTCGTACGTGTTGTAAAACTATTAAACAAACGAAAAAACAAATTCTTGTAGAATTAGACAACGAAATTCTTTATTTGTACAGACATTGTCTACACTACTAGATGGCGTCATCGATACACAATCGATGAAAGACGCGTTTCTGCCGTTGCCGTATTCTGCCGCTCAACGTCACTACAACACGTAAATCGTAATGTAATATTATTGTGAAATGTTATAATAGTAATACCTACCCAGTCATCTTATTTGTCTATGGTAATACCTACATTACTTATTAATTGAAAACGAATGCACGTTAGCATTGAAATATTATTTAATGACATACAAGCATACAACACGTCATTGTGACACGCAAATGAGTGAAAACTATTGAAAAAATAAAAACAAATAGCCACCGCCACCGACGCCGTCGAATTTTTTTCACACGCCGCTTTTAATTATAATATTGTTATTATTCCATCTGATTGTATCGTGTTTTGAGTTTTGACCACTAAAATATTTTTTCTTTTTAAGATTTCTGTTTTACTTAGATTTAATCCGTTATAGAAATAATCGGATATAATCAGTTATGAATATTTTGAAGTCGATAAACCTTTTAGGATATTATTGTACTTATAAACTATAGTTTGTATCTATGTATTGGTGACTGGTGTAATATGTATTAAGTAGGTATATTATATTTCTTATAAATAAATGATAATTTATATTTTAAATTCAATAAATTATAATATCATAAATCATAATAACATTTTATTTTCAACTTAAATTTCCTATACTAATATACTATCTAAATCAGATTAATCTAACTTTATTTTATTATGTACCAACTAAATCCATACATGGTACTTTTTTTCATAACGTGTTATTTTCTTAAGGCTTCTGCACGATGTAGATAATATTTTTCTACTATAATAGTAATATTATCTACATCGTGGGTTAACGAGTCATTTTTAAGGAGTTGTGTTTAGGCAATTCTTTCGTTCTTTGCGATCGTCTCTGTGTGTGTATAGAAAATTATCATTAGTGTATAGTACCTATTTCATATTTGAAACGAATCTTTTCTTTTTAAATTTAGATGGATGCCTATACCTAGCTATAAAAGCTATTTTATATTTGTTGTATTATAACGGCTTTTTGATGGAATTTAAGTAGTTCTATATTAAAATATAGGTTTTGTAGGAGGTTATGTAAAAGTAGGTAGGTAAATGAAAATTATTTAAAACTTAAAATGAATTACTTAATAATAATTATCAGTCTTGTTCATAAATAATAAGTTTATTGAAATCAAAATTAAATATATTGTTATATTTTTGTTCATAAAACAATATACCTATAGGCGAATATAATGATAACTTACAATAATTTGTCTTATAATAATTACCTACACAAAGTCCATAGAATGTTCACTGTTCATGAAATGTATAAATATTATATATTTAGTAGGTTGTAGGTAAATAGATATTCACTTCTATATTATAATAATACTTATTAAGTATTTTATTAAATTTCACTTTTCACTATCTGGGTGGTTCACGGAGAGACTGATAAGTTATTTTACTAAATGGATGCGATCACTAATTTTGAATCCATTTTCTATGGATGCGACATATTATTTAGTATTTTTTGTTTTCTTATTCTCTTTACATTTTTGAGAATCTAACCATAATAATACACCAACATATTTTACAATATTATAAATGTATTACATTTTAATATTATTACAATGTTTAAATGTCTGCTTGTTATATATACCTAATATATTTTACTCTACGGTCTAAAGGCTTAGCTATATTCAAAACAAAACAATAAATACAATTTATTAAAGCAACATACTTTAGGTAGGAATTCAAGTATTTTTATAAAATAGCAAAATTATATTGAAGATTATTATTGTCACAGCAATTCTTAATCAAATCCATACATATATTCGATTCTTGTATTAATTTATTATAATCTTTATTTTATAAAAGTACGACTGTATCATCAGCATAGCACATAACATCAGCAATCAGCATTTAGGTTTAATTTTAAAAGTCCATTAATTTATATTTATATAACTAATATCATTGATTTTAATATAGGTACAATATTATATTACATTATTTAATCAATGACAATAATATTATACACGACATTATTATTATTATATCGTTTTCAATACGACATTACGACGACCGTAGCTGATTGTTATTACAACGATAGTATCCACTAACAGCTTCGCCCCTAGTGCAACAGCTCTAATTCAAAAAGCCGGGTTCACACTACACTAGTCGTGTGATTAGTGATTTCATATTTTTATGTTTATGCCAAAACGCAATCATACGAATATTGTACCTGATAATAACATAATACAATATTGTATTTTAGTTATCACTTTTCTACACATAAATAATATTATAACCACACTGTCAAACGTTGAATATCGTTTGGTCTTTGGTAACTGTGAATTTATTTTACTCGTCACACGGTGTAGACAGTGTGAACAAGGTTTTTTTACTCGCAAGTCGCAGACCTCACTAACCGGCAACCGCAGTTCTGTTCGAGTATTCGGCATTCGATACTTCGAGTCATACTAAGTATAATATATTATTATACTTATATCTAGTGATCACCAGTCGTTCTTCTCGCTGTAATCCGTCCGTGATCGTTTCGTTATTTGTTCGATAGAAGTGCATGTGCCGTTTAATTTTTGTGAGCAACCTGTTACGAATCGCGGTCGACCACCATGCAGAATAACGACGGTAATGATGCGAGTAATAATAATCCTCCAATTTTGAGAAATGAGCCGATTAACCAGGAACAGCAACGACCCGACAAAACACGTGATCCGAACGGCGAGGTAGCCGCCAACAACAGCACCGAAAATACTACTTGTAACACCACTGCGTATTTGAAATATTTCAGCGTGGTCAAACCCGCCGAATTATCTGTGTTTTCCGATCGCAAAATGTACGATGAATCAAAAAGGACCGTGTCCACAAAATCGCCTTTGAGTTCAAACCCTGTTTCGGGAACGCTAGACGCCAAAAACGGAAAAAACTTTTACGCAGGCAACACGTATAAGAACAATAAAAAATCTGGACAATATCATTCATATCGTCAACAGCCGTGGAACAACAAGAAGTACCCAAACAAATATCGAAAGAACAAAAACAATTATTCGGCGAGTTGTAACCGCGGATTCAATGAATTTATTTCAGCGAACAATGTCCACGACACACGCATTGGAAATGACCGGCCGGCTTCTACATATGACTCTGCTTGTATAGAGCCGACTTTAAATCAAAATGCTTTGACCAATAAAATTTTCCTGGACAATCATGAAAATTCTGAATATGATTCAGAATGTGAATCTGACCCTGGCGATTTAGAGAAAATGAGTATGATGACAGCTGCAGATTTTAATGATGATCGTTATGCTCGCTATGGGATACACGAGTCAGAAATCAAAGACTATGTGCGCACTATTACTTACAAAAACTGTATAGAATATTGTTCAAATGGATATATTAAGGTAAATATAAATTTTAATAATATCTTGATAAAGTAACTTATATGGTTTTTAATATAGGTACTCATCAACAATATTTAAAACAAATTATTATTATTTTGTTTTTCTTATAATGTTGTGATAATATCAGTTTTTAAATTTGTTTATTTTACGAATGTACATTATAGATAAACTGATGGTTGGTACAGGTAATAGTACGTTCTAGTATTTTTTTAATAATTTTTTGTTCTACCTATGTACCTAAATTTACTTTTCAACTTTGTGTGGTATAGGCCCGAGTATAGTTATTACTTATTCTAATGTACCTATATTTATTTTATTAAATATATTTTTTTTTTAGTTTTACAAAAAGATGATACCTACAATCTGCACATATTATAGACATGCAAAATAAGTAAAGCATTAACTGAATTTCTACAACTTTTCAGTAGAATAAATAAAAGTTTGGTTTACAATTCTTATTCGTATAATTGGGGTGGGAGTGTCCCAACTCCCAATGTAATTTTATAAAATTGGATTTCTATTCAGTTCATTGTGTATAAATGTCTCGATAAATGTAAATATGTACTCACACAAAAAAAAAGAAAATTGAGGTCAACTAATCAGTGTGCAGTATAATGTAAAACTATATTGTATATTTTATCATGTAGGTAAATATTTATATGCGAAGTATAAATTTTGAATGCACTCATGTGCAGGGTTTAGGATTTGTTGCGCTTGCATTTTTTTAATTACGGCTGTAGAATATTATTCAAAGCAGGAAGAAATAAAAGTTAGATGGAAATTTTTTTTGGGACAACAACCTTAAATACATAAATGTAAATTCATGGCAAAGTATATAGGTATGTCAGCAACATTGTGATGCGCATATCACCCACTTTTTACTGTGTGTTACATTCTCTGCCACTCATTGGTCGCATATCTCAAAGCATGATCACATTGTATGTGTTAAGATACATATTATACAAAATAGTTGGGATGTGCAAACGAGATTAAAAAACGTATTGTTTCTGACATAGGGACCTCTATATTTTGTCATGGGTATATTGCATATTTTTGCATATTTTGGTATTTTTTAGGCTAAATGTATAGATGTATTTGAAACATTTTGTCAATTTAATTGTTACTCTTAGTATATTAAGCATTTTCATGTTCTATTTTAAATAAATACATTTTGATAGTGAAGGCTAGGGCAAACAGAAAGCGGTCTGCCATGGTGTACGGGTACGCTTTCTACGCGGTTGTATTATTTTACAGTGTCCTCGCGGACAGACCACTTTGTGTTTGACCGAACCTTTGACATTATTTTTTTTTACTGGTTAGGTGTCAATCAGTATAAATATATTAGGTAGTAAGACCTACCTCTGAGTCAAAATATAGAGTTTTTGTTTTGTGATCTTTGTGAAATTAATAGGTGCAGATTGTCGATATCTGGTTACTTGATATAAACATAAAATTATAAATTTAAAGACATTGACAAACTTAAAATTTAATAAATCAATATTTTTTAAAGCTATTTAAAAAAAATGTTAGTTGCACATTATTGCAAATATTTCAGTTAATATGTACAATGTGCATGCATATTTCTAACAATTTTAGTGTAATAACTGATAAGTCCTGAACCCTACTTATATGTAAACATGATACTGATAAAGTATTTTAAAACAACAAAAATGCTATTCGATCTTCACTGTCTAACCCAGGAAAATCATCATCAGACAACATGTGATTGGGTTCAACTTCCAAATTGTCTTCATATAATGTCAAATGTAAATAATTGTTACTAACACAGCACTACAGCAGTGATATTTAAACTTGTACGTTTGATAATCAAAAATAGGAACTTAAAATTTATAAAAATGTATTAGGTTTTTTGAATCGGCCCATAAATCAATTCTTTTGAATGACTCTCTGATTTTTAATTAAATCCTTGCTAGCCCAGTCCAGCCCTGCTTATAATTATTTGATACTATTGAAACTACAGAAACTTGGACAACTTAATTATGGGTATGTAACTTCAAGTATTTTGACAGAGGAAGAATAATTAAATTGTATAAACCTGAATTGGAAAAAAAACATAAAAAGATGTCAAGTGTTTAAAATTATTAAATTGTTTTTTTTTTACATTTAAATATCCAACACAGTCAAGATTTGAAAATCAAACATTTATAAAAAAATATTTTGACCGTATTTTAGATATTTTTAAACTTTTGAAATAACAACTTATGAGGAATATTTTACTGACAAATGAAATCTTTATAAATGTAATGGTAAACTAATAAAAGTTAAAATTGAAATGCCTATAAATTTCTCAGTCAAAATATTTTTAAATTTATATTGTGTATAGAAAATGCTTGTATAGGTAAATGTTGGGTAAAACTACTTAATGGAATACAAAAAAAAAATTGTTCCAGTGTTCCCTAAAATATATTCTTGGTTTCCTGATATTTTAACAATATTTTAATTAGTAGAAGGGCCACTTAGACCTTAGCGCCACCCCCATCTCCGGACTATACAATGCATTTTTGTGTCTTTGTGGTACATAAAATACAATGTTTATGTAAACCCCTCCCCCCTCTCATCAAATAGACCTTGATGAACTGAAAAGTTAAATTATAGACACTATCAACATGATACCAATCAACTTGCTTCATCAGGTTTATGGCAAAATTTAAATAGAACTTAGACATCAACCATTTTATTCTAACTTGTAATATTACTCAAATTCTACAATTTATATAATTTTTGGAACACCCTGTATAACATCAAAAGGGTTATACAAACTTAAACAGTAGTTGAACATTCCTCAAGTTGATTTGCACACCATAACTACCAAATTTATTTGATTTAGTAAAATGTTCAGGTGTTCAGCCCTAGGTGACTGATTCCTTAAAGCCAAATCACCCACTGTATAAAATAGAATAAATTAAAATAAATGTTGTGTTGAATAGCTGTAATTTTTTTAAAATTTTCAGCATATATAAATATAAAGCACTGCACACACTGCGGCGGTAGCGAAAAAGGTAAAATGCAGCCGTACACAATTTACCGCAACAGCACCGCTAAGCCAATAGAAACTTACCGCCACCGTTGCAGTGTGCGAGAACCTTAATTAAGGTATTATTATTTGTAAACATATTTTTTATATTTTTTTCTTAATTTAAATATTTATAGAATATTAACCCGTCGTATGTAAGTATCACTTTGATTTTTAACTTGGTGTGTATCATGTTAGCATCATGCTAACATGGTCAGGTTTTGTTCCTATGAATAGTTTGATGAGCTGAGCCTAGTGAAACAAAAAAATGTTAGCTCTTGAGTGTTATATCAACTAATCTATTATTTTGAAAATATAATATAATTTAATTTTAATGCTATATTGTAGTTTAAGTTGGCCAAATAACACTGATAGTCTATACCAATGACAGGAAAAAAAATAAACTAACATATTATTTTGAAATATATTTAGTTTTAATGCTATAGGTACCTACTATGCTTTATTTTAATTAAGAATATTGGAAATTCTTATGAGCTTATGATGTTCATATAGAATTAAGGTTAGGTGGGGTAACTGCGAAGCGGTTTTTACAAAACCTTAGTTTAACTGCACATATATCCTGCTGTATTCCTACGAAGAACATAGTTTTGATAATAGCTATTAATAAACGTAACAGAAATTAAAATTTGTGTTGAAAATAATTTTTTAATAATATTTTAGTTGAAAAATAAATATTTTAAAAATGTTGCACTTTTCCAGCTACCTGGTAAGTGCAAAACCGGTTATTTTATACTGTTTATACAACCTATTTTCTTGGTCGGGACAAGTGCCATAAACTAATGAATATCTGCAATATTAATATCCTACAGTGTAATTAACATTATGCAACATTCATAATTTTCACGAAATCAACTTTTAAATTGAAAAATTGTATTTTTATAACCCAATAGGCACTAGACCTGTTAGGCTCTTACTCCACCTGACCTTATATTTATTTATAAATAACAAAAATATAATTTTATACATTTTTTGCTAGTAAAATAAAAAATATTAAATATGAATATAATTATTTTTACAACTTTTCTACTGTCTCATGAAATATGTATTAAAATTGTTTTGAATTTATTTTTCAGGATAAAGTGGTTTTAGTTATCCGCTGTGGTATTGGCTTATTACCATTGTTATGTGCTAGGGATGGAAAAGCCAAAAAAGTAATTGCTTTAGAACAGTCAGCTTGTATTGAATATGCTCGTCGCATAATCACAGACAATCGGTATAGTACTGTGATCACTTTAGTTCAAAGCAATGTAAGTAAAATGTCATTACTTTTATTTTTATATGACCTATTACTAGTATTATACATCTTACGCTTCACGAAAACTAGCAGCTGATCGTAGTGTCCTCCAGTGCCATATTTTTGGTAGAGCTATCCAACTACTATGGCCCTACCGAAAAAAAAACGCCACTGGAGGGCACTGCGATCAGCCTCTAGTATTCGTGAAGCGTACTATAGTATGTTAAATGTACACGTGTTACAGCTTTTTTACTAAAACTTATTTAAATCATTTTGTATTTTAAGGTTCATGACTTAAAACAGTTGCCACACAAACTCAAGAAGGTAGATGTTATATTATCGGATTGTTTGGGAGACTGTGTTTTAAGTCAAGGTGATCAAATGGAACAGGTTATTGAAGCTAGAGATCGTTTTCTTGTTTCAAATGGTCTGTATAAATATAATATTTTACCAAGTATTTTTCCTTATATTCAGATTTTTATTTTTATTCATAAATTTATATAGGCTTAATGATTCCTATGTGCGTTACTCTATATGGTCAGTTATTAGAACAAAGACGAGTTTTTGGAAATTGTCGTATACGTAAAAGTACTAAAAAAAGGACATATAAAAAATGTGACAATTGCCTGAATTCAAACGAGTCTGGGAAATCTGAAACACTGTCTAGTGATACTGACAGCTCATCAGATTCAACATTGTGTTCATGGTGGAGTAATGTTTATGGATTTGATATGAGATCAAATACAGAAATTGTAGTTGGTGGTAATTCTGAAAGTGTTGACTGTCCTGACTCAGCCAAAGATAAGTGGTTCATGATGGATGAACCACTAGTTACATTTTTTGATCCGTGCAAGGTAAATTATTAATTTATATTTGTTTTTTTGAAAATAAAACATACAACATAATTCAATATAACAAAATATTCTGTAATGGCTACAATAATTGTAAAGCTTATTATTTGTATTAAAGATGTTTTTGCTTTTAACTTATTTGACTATCCAACTTTTAATGTATTAGAATTTTTATGTATATAATATCCAAAAAAAACCGCTAAGTATTAAAAAAACTGCTCTAAAAGATGTGATATAATATTATAGCTAAGTCATTGAACTATAGATATAATTTATGTTAAAATAGTATTTTATAATTTAAATCACCAATCTAAGTTCAATTATTTAGCAGACTATTTTAACATAAAAGATATTCTATAATTAACAAGTACCAAACTATAGTAATTTTTCTATAGTTCAAAGATTTAGCTATAAAATGATTTCTCAACTTTTAGAACCATTTTATTTTATACTTAGCGTTTTTTTACACGGAGTGTTTTTGTTGGGTGATCACTCATTTTTTGTTGATACCTTATTATTTGTAAGTCATTATTACTTTTAATATTTATATTGTATTATTAATTGCCACAGCAATGAGAGTACTGGGATGGATAAGCGGTGGATCGGGGGGACAAAATCATATTTTATGATAATTTCGTCGCGTAGGTATGAAAAATCAGACTTAAAAGTACTTGAACATTTTTGGTTGTAACTTTTAAATCATCCAACCAATCTGTTTACGAGTTCCCCGGTACGCATCTACACAATTTTTCTGATCTATTGATTCCTTACATGACCTTATATGTTCAGCAGTTTACCCTGTAGGCACAAATTAGCACAGTTTTTCAATGGTTTTTCTGGCTCCTGTTAATATACGTTAGCTGCTTCTCTATTTTTTTTTAACTTAGTTTTGCGCTACTACCGTCATACTGGATAATATGAATAAAAATTTAAAAACTATAGGTACATTGTTATTAATAAAAACATAAAAAACAATTATTAGCGTTTAGCACTGAATAATAAAATGTTAAATATATAGGCTTATTATGATATTTTTGTTTTTATTTTTTGTCATTGTAAATTTCAAAATGCTCAAACTTGCTTTACAATTAAAATATAAAATGCCTACTTGGGGCTTAAGATAATATTCTTACTTTTAAATTTTACTAACAGTCCAATTTTATTCATTTGGATATAAAGAATAACATAGTAATATGGATTCTTCTGAGTGTAAAATTTACTATGTATCATGCAGTATGAAGTCAAAGACATCACCTGCAGCTACTACGTCCTATTGTTGATAAACAATGATATTCAATTATCTGCCTTTTATAAATAAAATACTAAATACTTTATTTATATTGATGTTATATACATATTCATACAACCAAAAATTTGATTAGACGTTTCATACTTTAATTTACTTTGTACAAATTATATTAATTATAAGTAGTTTAGTGATGATAAATAATTGGGTCTAAATCTAAATTTTAATTAGAGCAATAAATCACAAATCTCTATCTATATCATTTTAAACGATTGCCTTTTTTTTAGCAGTATTAAAAACTATATTTTAATAAGTAATTTTTTCAGGTAGTGTCAAATGCTTGCTTAATAAAAAAGTTTGATATGAATAAGTGTACTATTGATGAAGTTCGCCATGTGCATAGTAAAGACTTAGTTTTAGAGTGTACTACACCTTATACGAGTGCCAATGGAGGAGACTATGCACATATGTTAGAGCTGTTTATGGTAGTTGATTTTCCTAATGGTCAAAAAACTTTTGATGGTAAGGGTAATTTTTTGTATCAGTATTTTAGATATTTTTTTTACAAATTCCCAACTTTTTTTTGTGATTTTGCTGCAATTTTACTTTAAATACTAAGTTGTCCAAACCTAATTGTTTAATTAATTTGTTTATTTTTATAGATGAACTACAAATAGGATTTTCCACATCATCTTTTTCACCATATACTAGATTTAGACAGACTGGTTTATTGTTAAGGGACCAGTTGCTTGTAGAACAAGGTGACAAGTTTAAAATTAATGAGTTCCGTATGTGGCGTGGTCCTCAACAAAGTCAAAAAACTATGTTAGTTGGAGAAGATACTATCACTAAAAGTACTTGTACTAGATTTGGACCAGAGGAAAATTTAAAGCTAAGGTTAAGGTATACATTTATCAACAATAAAACCAAGGCAATTAACAGACGTTGTGCTTACACATTAGTCAAGCAATTATTTTAAGATTGAAAGGTTTATAAATATCATTAATTTATTATATCTTATTAAAAAATTATATAGGTAACTAATAAGTATTAAAATCATATTTTATGAAGAATCGAATTATTTTAAAGGAATATAATAATAAAGACAGATTTTTAAATTAACTAGTTTTTGTTAATTGTATTCATTCTTTCATTCCTGTTAAGATAGTCTGATTAATAATCGTAAATAATGACATTTAGTTATTAAATATTCATTCATAATATGTTTGTGAATTACATAATATGACAAGCAGTGATTTGTGTTCATTAACTACAAATGCAACATTGCCAGACCAGATCCTGTAGCAACTTGAACTTTGAGCACTCTTCTCGCTCTATTTACATTAACTGACTATCATGATTCATGATTCATAAACGAGTAGTCAGCCCCATGGGTGAGACATTTGCGGAAATAAATTTATGACGACCTGTCACGGGATCTCTACTAACACCATTTTGAACTATTATACTTGTGCAAAAAATTAAGTATAACATAAGTTCAAAATCATAAAAAAAAAATAGAGTTAGTGCATCGCACAATTATCAACTTATAAATATACTTGACCCTTTTTTATATAGGACTGAATCACTGAAATAATCAAATTATATATTATTTTGTTTATTTATTACTTATATATTACATATAATTACAATACTAAATTATTTATGGAAATCATTTATTAATATAAATAATATGTCAGACATATTACCCTTTTTAGATACATTTTAATAGTACCTATTTAATATCAATGCTAATAATATCTGGGAACTGATTTAATTTGTGTACCAAGATGTATTGATAAAGTTTCGTCACTTGTTTGAAAATTTTACTACAGACAGTCATCACCACCAGGAGCACTATATGTCCTATGGAGGCCGTTGATTGAACAATATTGTACACTGAAACCATAAAAAATTTAAAATATTTTATGATTTGAGGAATAAAGTTCAAAATGTTATATTATGTTAGTGACATTTATGTTCCAAATTATGTGTATGCAAGTATTTAAATGTTTCCTTTTTTTAAAATATATTTATTAATATTAAATACTGTCATGTTAAAATGTCCAATTACAAAAAAAATAGATGTAAAATTTAAGATTTAATTCACTAAATGATCATACATAATACTTTCAAAGTGTTATAATTAATAAATAATAATTATTAAATATTTATTATAAGTTTGAGAAGCACTGTACTAGATTATACTGTAGAATATTTAAATATATATAACTAGCTGTCCCGGTAAAAGATCATGTTTCTAATGTTGCATTTCAATTTAAAAACTTCATAAACATTTTTCACTGTTTATTTTTCAAACATAATTTGTAGTTATTGAAGAAATGTATAAACATTTTTGACTAAAGTTAATTGCTCAATACACAGTCAAATATTAAACAAATATATCATAACGCATTGTGTCAAAACAAGAATGATATTCACTTGCAAAAGAAAAAGTTAACAAGTTGCTAAAAACAAGAAAACGCCAAAAAAACTAAACAATTTTTCAAAATTAGTTAAAAGTTTATAAGATAACTATTATTGAATAATATTATAATATAAATATTATACCTAATCATATAATAAAATATTTTAAACATGTTTGTAGAGTTTTTTATAAGCACTAGAAAATAATACTCCACTCTACCAGACTACTATTAAAATTAGGAGCAGAATCATAATAGTCATATACATTTAAAGATTTTAAGAAGGATGCAAATATCCAAAGAAGTGACTAAATTATACATCATATTTTATAATTGATGTCTACTCAAAAAAAAATTTTGCAAATTATTAAAATGCAAATGTTATGTTTTTGTAAACTTAAATTTAAAAAAAAATTGCATTTTAATTCTAAAGTTTTAAGACATTTTGCATTTAATAATATGAATACACAGGCCTTCATAGGACAGGAAGTGTGCTCTGGTGACTTTAGAACTGTGGTAATATTTTCAATCAAGAGTATACGTATAGGGGTCCAGAGTGACGACATCTTGTTGTGTACCTACAATGTTAATCACTTAATTGTTATTATGTTGCAATTTTGTATAGAACATTAATTCTATAATGGGGACGGAGTGGCCGAGCTTTCTAAGGCGTCAGTTGTGACTCAACAGTCGCCGGATCGATTCCCGGCGGCAGGCGTCATTTTTCTTCGTGCAAGTTACGGTGTCTGGAGAACAAGTGCCACCATCCCCTACCCAGGCATGGCAGATACCTACGGGTACCCAAATCAAAAATTCTGCCAAAACACACACGTGTTAACTACCTATATAGTACATACCCCCCCTACAGTACCACAGGCTAATGACCTAAATTGTCAAAGCCTTAAGTCTTAACCTTGATAAAAAAAAAAAAAAAAAAATGATTCCATATTATACTTCAATTAAATATTTATGTATATTATTAAACACTAGACATTTATAACAGCTCATTTTATTAGTTATTAATTAATTAATTCAAGTCCATATAACATTTAAATACATTTGAAAACAACTATTCTTTAAATTTCAAATATTTATTTCACAGATCATTAAACAAAATTATTGAGGGTGGCGAAAATTCAACTTGGGAGCCTCATGCACACATGCATCTCTTATCTTAAGACATAAAACATTATAATATAATAATAGGTATTATACCATTATATGAAATAACATTTAATATGACATTATTGTACATAATTTTATTGTTTTGCAAAATTAACAAGGCTAAAAATAGTTTAAAAAGTTACCATTCATGAAAAATAATTAGTTTTTAAGTTACACAAAAAAAAAAAAAATGAGTGATAAATGTATTGATCTTACAATGATGTATGTTTTTTATTTTAGTGTGTCATCACTCATCACTGTTTAGGGCAGTAACACAGCTTTGATTTTCTTCAACAGTATCTTGTTCAATGGGAAAGTGAATCTAGTTGGTGCATTGGGAATTTTAAATTCTCAATAGTTTTCAAAAGCGCAGGGGAAAACAAAACAAAAATTAAGAAACATCGGTTATCGACAAAATCGATTTTGGTTCTTGGTGAACTCTAAAACAAATAACCGTAGATACTTGCAAATATCACTGAATATTTATATTAGCATTTTCTATACACCATAACATTTTCAAAATATTTAGCCAGGGTTTAAGCGGTTTAAGGGTATTTTCAGTTTCTAACTTTTTTAGTTTTTTTTTCTATAAATGTCAATTGAATTTTTTCGTTGGGTTAAAAAGCTCAGAACATTTAATACAAGGCTCCTAACTTGTTACAATGACACTTGAAAAATATTAAAAATACATAGTCTAAATTATTTAAAGCATTTAAAGTTTGAATTTTGACAAAATACTTAAAAATCACAAAAATGTGCAAATTATTTTGAGTTAGAAATTCATACAAAATTTCCTTTTTAAATCAAAGATTTGAAAATTTAATACAAGATTTCTCATAAGTTTTTCTACTTTTATCAAAAATAATTGTAATGAATAACCGTAGACTCTTGAAATTTACACAATATGTTTACAAAAATGTATAAACACAATTATTTTTTAGACATTTAAAATTCAAATTTGGACAAAATTACATGTTAAAACCAAGAATAACAATTTTAGTTATTTTGTTGTAATTTAAAAATATTATTCGTGGATACATGAATTTTAAATAATAAAGGATTAGTGAATTAATAATTAGTGGTCTTATTTTGAGGTGGTAGAGCATACTTGTGAATAGACTTGAAAAAACTTCAGGTTGAATTTTTATTGTGGTCTTAAAGATGATATGGAATTTTGAGGTCTTTGTATATATTTAGGAATTTAGGGGGATATAGGGATGATATATGGGTGATGGAGAAGCCACCCACGACTTGGTTTTAATTGTTGTGTGAGTAGGTATTTTTTGATTCCATCGCCTCTGTATCACTGATTGTCAATGGCTATATCTATTATTTATTACCATTGAGTAAACTGATTGAAATTAATTACATATAATATGTAATATAGTATGAGCACCATACTCTAGGATAGTGTTTCCCAAACTTTCTGCAATGGTGACCCAAAACTTTAATCTTTATAGGATACGTGACCCCCTGCCAAAAAAAAAAAATATCAATTATTCCGTAAATAAATAATATTTTTATTATGATAAATTTATCGTTGAATTTTTAAAAATTTCAATACTGAATAATAAATACATAATAAATAAATAAGTAAAATAAATTATAAAAAAATACAAAAAAATTAATATAAGAAAATTGAGACTTCATGACGAAGTTGAAATAGTCTGAATAGGCATTTTCGTTAAGAAAGCCAACGTACTTCTGAGTGAAGTAAAAGTGATTTAATATTTTTTTCACAGAATTAACAATATACTATTTAAATATTTAATGCTCCAGATTTAATAAAATTTATAATTTTAACAGATTCCCTAAGAACTTTTTTTAATTCAGTTGACATTTTTTTTGACACAAGTGCCTCTCTGTGAAGCATACAATGAGTCCATTCGGCATCTGGGGCTACTCGACGTCATACATTCTACAATACTAGTTGGACTTCACATTATTATTATACAATATAGAGGTATCAATTTATGGCTAAAATAATCGTAATCGGAATCGTAACCGCGAGTCTCAACCCATCAAAAGAATTTTGCAACCCACTATTGCGACCCATGGTTTGGGAAACGCTGCTCTAGGATATAGTCCATTTAGTTGTAATTAATCATAATCATTATAGTGCTATTGTGGTGACCAGTTCTCCAAAAAAACATCAATAGTCACTGTGTCTGTTCAGAAACATTACATTAAATGTTCTCTTATAATGTCATTCATAATTTATGTACTACCTCTGATATTTAAACTAGAAAAGTGAATACAATTCCACATTACTCAACTGCAATATTAAAATAAATAATGTTTATTAAAAATAATAATAATTAAAAAATCACCGTGAAGTAATTTATGTACTGTTAAAATTCTTCAATTTTCAACAAAAATCAGCTTTTCTGTAAAAGAAAAATATGAATATATAAATTTTAAACTATTATTTGATTGGGTAAACAATAACTAAAAGTCAAGACATAATATTATTATTCTTTTCATGTTGGAGATACTTATTTAAGTGATATTGAACAATAAACATTTATAAAGTAAATTCATGAAGTACACCTATTAACTGTGAAACTAACATTTATAATGATACATTTACACATAATGAATATTAAACACATAACAGACCATTAGTATTTGAAGTAATAATAATTTGAACTTTGTATTCAAAATTAAAACTAATTTATTATAATCAATGCCTAATAGGAAATTATTTAAACCGCTGGGCCACGAACACTGCCGGGGCTCCTCCGATTTACCCACCCTGCTGAGCTCCGCTGTTGGATTCATCGATCATGAAAATGTTGCATACAAAAATATGTATGATTCATAATACTATACATCTCCATATACCTATATGTATATATAATTAAATATTAAACAATGATAAAGATTTTACATTTACTTTTGAAAGTTTACAGATTTGTCACACAAAGTTAAAATTCTATAGGCAATATAAATATAATTTCGGTTCTATGTAATTAATAATTATTATTTATTATTTTGCAGTTTAAAATATTTCAATAATTTCATAGCTTATTACTTAACGAATGATTCCCCTTGTTAGGCTTTGCATTCATATCATACGTAATGATTTTTTAAGTACCTATGTTCGCCCTATTTTTTTACTTAAATTGTACATATTATATTCAAATTCTGATTTTTAGAATTTCTAAATACTCTTGAAGATTTTTGAATACTTGAGATTTTTTATACCAGTTAAAAATGATGTTGTTACGATACAAACTTCTCTTTTTAAAATAGGAATCCTCTTTTTTTACTTTTAACAAAGTAAAAAAAATAATGTACATTTAAACACATCTACATTTACAAGAACATTGTCTGCTAAATAATTTGCAGTAAAAAAGGAGATTCTCATTTGAAAAATAGAAGTTTTTATAGCCATTGGATACTCTAATATTAGTACAAAAAATATCAGGAATTTGAATAATATATTGTCTTTAGGTACATACCTACTTAAAAATTCTATAAATCAGAATTTGAATAAATGTATTTTTAAAGGAAAAAAGGTAGTGGGCATTTTTTCCCCAAAATGTCAAATAAATTTTGTATTTCATGATGGGGCCTTTTGTGTGCCAGGCCGACACTGTTCATGACAATAAATGTATAATAAATAAAATACCTATTTGCTATAGAAACGGTATTATAGTGCATGTAAGTTCATGAAATATATATATAGCATAAATAAATTGTGAACATGTTTGGTAAAGCACTCAATGTATAAACATATATTGTATTGTAAGATGTAGCTATTAGCTATAATATATTATTTTGTAATAAAATATTAGTATTATTGTCTTTATGATACTGTAGTAAGTACAAGGTACTGTACTGTTACAAATCATCATTTTTTAGTTAATTGTTTACAATTTCTAAAAAAAACCTATTAATTATGGTTATAGTTGTAAATTGTTGTCAAACTAAATACATAGTAAGTAATAAGGACATGAGATAATTGGCAGAATATTTTTATAGGAGATACCCCACCACAGATCGGTTTCTAAATTTTTTATATTATAAGCATTTAATAGCTCAGATATTATGCTACACCACACATATAGTGTTTCATAGAAGTCAATGTGAGTATTCTGACTGGTGTTATGGTTCTCCCTAGCTAGCACGTGTCATCAGATGGTATATAGTATATACATCAAAACAATAAAGTAGTATAATTTGAAACATTGCTTGGTTGAATTCTTTCATAGAACAGGATTTTAGCACACTAGAAAGTAGTACTTGTCAATTTAATATAAACTTTGTATTTGTATTTACTCAAATAAAATAAAATCATATTGCAAAATAAACTTTACATTGTTAAGTTTCTCAATAAAATTATTTTGTAATCGTATTATTATAGTTGGTCTTGGTTGCACAAAAATGTGATTGTTATAAAAAGTTCTTTTGATAATGGTGTCCACAGCTTCTTGTTTTAGGCGTAATTATAACGTGTGTGATTATTACAATTAATATATAAGAACATGATAATATAATAAAATGTGTAAAATGAATATAATATAAGAAGTAGTATATAATAATGTGTCTGTGTGAAAATAACCCACGACCATATATATATGGCCGTGACATAACCTATAACATATAACCTCAAGAAGTATGACATTACCAGGCCCGGCTCAAGGGGTAGGCGACATAGGCCCACGCCTAGGGCGGCACTTCACCAGCACTTTAGTAAGAGGGTGGCATGTTCAAAATACTGACAATATTATATTATATTATATTATTAGGGGCGGTAAAATTTGATTTTGCCTAGTTCATTATTTTCGCTTGAACCGGCCCTGGACATTACAATGTTAACAACATTACAACAGTAAAGTAAAATATTTTAAGGTTGTCAACTGCTAAATTTGATAATTTACAGGTGTGAAATAAATAATTGGCATTAAATAAATGTCTAAAAGCCCAATGAATGTTATGATATATACAGAGTGATTTATCAAGCATACTCATCCCTATTTTCCCCTTCAATCTTATTAAGTTTGATATTTGGTAGTTTTAAGTATACTTAAAAGTTAAAGATCATATTTAAAATACTTGAATAGTTTATACCATATAAAAAATTCCTTTATGCAATACAAACTTTTTTCCAAATGAGAACTATTTCTATTTACTGTACATTTTTAAGCAAATGATTTCCATGAAAATGCAGGTATATCACAACCAAAATTAAAAATTAATATGTGCTTATTGATTTATAGTAAAAATTGTAGCTTTCATTTGAAAATAAGACAATTGTATTGCATGCAAATAAATAAAATTAAAAGATATTTTGATGATTAACATACATATATATAATTTTTTTATGTAACTCCTCCCATTGAACTGTGTACACCACTGCTTAATAATGACATAAATTATGTAAAACAATATTTTCAAGAACATAAAGTTTTATTAAGTATGGAGAGTTTTCCAATAAATGAATCACCTGGTGTCTGGTGATTTCCTGATATTATAAATCATTAAAACAATTTTTTTAAAAAATGAATCAATATACACACCTCCAGGCTCTAATGTACAACCTTTCCAGTTTCTAATAATGATTAACTAACCAAAAGTAATTAATATTCCTAAGATAATATTTCTTAATTTCATAATACTCAAGATTAGATTTTAATTTCTTAAGTATTCAACATTAATGCATAATATTCAGTTATTTAATCAAAAGTCATTTTTAAGAGGTTGCTATACTCCCATGTCTTACTAACACTTAAATAACATGACTAATATTACATTCAGAAGAATCCTTCTTTTTAATATTTGAATGAATTGACTTAATATCAAATTTAAAAGTAAGACTATTCTCAAGGGCACCTCACTTACTACATATGATTATTTTTATATATAATTAGTAAATATTTCATTTTTAAGCAAGATTTGAGAATTTAAAAAAAAACATTTTAAAATTTATAATGTTTCTATTAGTAGGACATTACATACATGTGGGTATTACGTTCTCATAAGGTTGAATTAGGAGTCAAGAAAAAAAAATAATATAAGTAGTTTAAGTTCAAATATATAATTGACTGTGTGTTAAATAATCTTAAAATGGATGGGATGAACACAATTAATAATAATAATAAATAATGTTTTAATATAGTAAATCATAAAGACTTATTAATTATTATATTTTAATTAAATCAAAAAAAACCCATCAAGTCACAAATAAACCGTAGGTGACTATTAATAATACAATATTCATAAACACACAATTAAACTGTGAAATTTAAAATAATTGTTTCAATAATTATAACATAATACAATAAACAAATTAATATTTGCAAATTTAGTAAAGTTTAAAACTAAAAAAAAAAGAACTGTTTAAATTATTGCTGGTTTTGAGAATATTCTGGATGAAATCATAGACAAAATAATTGTCAAACTGTTAAAAATGTTATATTAAACTACAGTTAAAGTTTTTATATCATAAAAAATAACATAACTAACAATAACAGTTAAGATTTCAGCACCAAACAATACAAATTTAAGTATATATTTTAAGCCTTATACAGCCAACAGATTAGTTAGGACAAAATAGCAAATAAAAATAATATATAAAAAGAAGCCCTACTGTAGTTCATTGAATGATATAATAATAATAATAATAATAATAATAATAATAATAATATTAATAAAAAAGAATGTATTCTACGAGTAAATCAAGCTAACAATAGCCAAACAATAAATATTACTGCAATCCATAAGAAAAGTTTTGATAAGTATTGATCATCTTGTTGTAGTTGACTACCAACTGGAACTAATTAAATTTATAAATTAATTAAATATATCTAATTTAATTTATTATTGAAATTAAGAATTAAAAAATGTAACTGTTATGTACTTACTTCCATGAGGCCGATCAGTAAAATTAAAAGATGTTAAGAATCCAAAAGGAAATGCACCTATTCCAAACGACAAATGGAAACCGCCATCTCCAAAAGTAAAACCGGGGAAACCCTGAAAGAATTAAAACCAGTTCCACATGAACATGAGAAATAAATATTTGTATGTTGATAACTCACAGTATTAGCATCCGGTTCAGTTCTTTGACCAGCAGGCCTAGGTGGCACTTTATTTCTGAAACATAAAAATATATTTAATAGTAAACACTGAATTCTTAAGTATTATTTTCAAAATGAAATACCTAGTAACATATTGAAATTAAAACAACTATTGCATGTAAATACCCATATTTAATAGTTAATACAATCACTTGAAATTGTGAGTATTCATTTATTAAAAAGTATTAAAACTACAACAGAAATTAATTTTAAAAAGTTATTTCTAAAACATAATGTGTAACTGTTTCAATATTAAGAGTAAAAAAAAAAAAATTAATAAAACAAATAATAATATATGAAATACCTATAGGTCCTATTATTTTTACCACTGAACTATTTTTTTTTTTATTATGTGAAAGTAAAAAAGTTGTAAACTAAAGTAACTTACCCAATACTGCAATTTATTTAGTATGTATATTACTGTATTCTTATAGAATAAACAATATGAAGTATGAATAACAAATATTAATTTTAATTTTTAAAAATATGCATTCCAATTTACCTAGGATCTTCTTGTTTGGAATTTCCTCGTCCATAAATTGGTATTACTTTATCTTTATTTATAACAGCTTTACATACAGGGCATACTTGACGACCTGATCGAGTTTCTAACCATTGATGCAAGCATGGCCAGCTATAACATAAAAAGTTTTAGGTTTGAACTAAATAATATTGCTAACATTTTATTAAATTATTGAACAATAGTACTTTTTAATTTCTAATACAATTGAGTCGCAATAACTAAAAAACATACATTTTTTGTTTTTCTCTTAGTGGTTATATTTGGTTAAATTCAAGTTACTTATCTCAAAGCACCTTTTATCTTGCTTCGACTTCAAGTTATCGCGATTCGACTGTAATTAGCTATACCTAATATTAAATTAATCAATTACCTAATTAAATATATCAACGTGAAATTTATTTTATTTTCTTAATTTTTAAGAAGCATATTAATAGGAGAATATGCTTTACCCTTTATTTACGTTTGATATTTTAGTTTATAAATATGAAATACGAATTAATTATTGAACTTCTGAATACCTAATTAAATATTATATTTCGTAGTTATATGAAAACTAAAAATGTATCAAATTATGTAACCAAATATCAATTACTATTTTTAAAACACTTAATTTATGTCATGAATAGTGCGTGGATTTTTATGTTAATACATTATTTTATTGATTACTTATTACAAATGAGCTTAGTTCATAACACTCTAAATAAAATAATATGTATTAATTTGAATATATGTTCACATTTTTTGAATTAAATGCATTTTTTTAAATATTTTACCAATAATTACCTACCTCAATATTTTGTATTTTTTTATTGAACTATTTAGAAACATACACAGTAATCAATAATCATTATTTTATGGGAAATATGTTCAATGTCATAGATCATGATAAAGAACTTCATAATAAATAAGATGAAATAAGTGAACTATTTTTGATATTACTATATTGCTTAATATACAATCTATTACTCTAGCGTTTTCTAAAGAGTAAAGGGTGTGCCATGACGTTTTAAAGAGGTGCCATGATACCTTGATCCCAGTACTTATTTTTGGTAAATAGATAATATTGTAAAGTGTGCCACAACTTATAATAATGTGCCGCGATGGAAAAAAATGTTGGGAATCACTGATTTAGTGACTAATTGTTCTCGTTGGTTAGTTTGTTTTTCTATACGGTATTTTTTATATTATATAATTACATTTTGTTAAATATTTATTTCATGTATTTTTAATACATATTTTTACAAAAATAACAAATATTATTTTCTTGAAAATCCACGCCCTAAATGATTATTAATGATTTATGATTTAAATTGTATTATTTCCACAACAAATAGTAAAAATAAAATGTTTAAATACATATGTAACATACAAATATACTTCACTATAATTTTAATTTAGCAGTGATACTAACCAAAATAAATGGCCGCAAACACTGACAACCGCATCTTTTGCATTCTCTAAGCATATGTTACACTCAAACATGTTATTCTGATCATCCTTGCCATCATTTTCTTCATTACCTGTGTTCTTTTGCGGGGTATCTGACTCGTTGCTTGTGGTAGCCATCGTGTCCTAAAAGGTTCAATAACAGACATTTTATATAAAAGTACAATAATATTGTAACAACAGGCCTATGTAATATTTCATACTTTAGAGTCTAAAGTTTAGACACTCGAGTCGCGCACATACCATTAACATGATTTCAGCCAATTAACACTAACTGGGTGTTCATTGCTGGTAATTGGCGTCAGTGGCGCACACTGGATGGTTCAAGGGTAGCAGTTGCTACCCCTGATTTTTTTGGTAGGTGGGTGGGTGGACCCCCTGGCTCCAAAATATTTACATCATGAAAATTCTATTACGTATAAAAATATTGAAAATAAACTATTGAATAATTATAGGCTATAGCCATTAGTCTATTAGCCAATATAGAGGTAACCGAATCAATTTGCTACCCCTATTTGTTTTTGAGTGTGCGCCACTGTCAGTGGCGCACACTGGAGGGTTCAAGGGTAGCAGTTGCTACCCCTGATTTTTTTGGTAGGTGGATGGGTGGACCCCCTGGCTCCAAAATATTTACATCATGAAAATTCTATTACGTATAAAAATATTGAAAATAAACTATTGAATAATTATAGGCTATAGCCATTAGTCTATTAGCCAATATAGAGGTAACCGAATCAATTTGCTTCCCCTATTTATTTTTGAGTGTGCGCCACTGATTGGCGTACACAACATTATATCTATAGTTTCGATTATATTAACCTAAGCCACTATTACGTACACCATGTTCTGCATGATCAACAAAGAATGATAATGTAATAATGTCGTTTTTAAAGACTTACGAGTTACGGCTTGAAGAATGTGTGAAAATATTATGCACAGCGGCTGTGCTCACTTCTTACGCTCCGTGATAACTTCAATTGGCAAAATATGGTTTACGCCGGACATGCACTCAGGTCTCGGACAGGCAGCAACAGGCCGGTCGTATGTACCGAGTTACGACTCTAGTAATTAATGAGCAATCGAATAAAATAAATATTTTGTAGTATCTGATAGTGAATTACACCACGGGTGTAGCAATTCTGCTGTAGTTCTGGCTGTACTCTGTAGCGCTGTAGGTACTAATGGCCCAATGCACCATTTGCACCAGCCGGCAGCCACCAGCGCTTCACAGTTTACGGAGTAGGTACTAACCAATAAATAATAATAATAATAATATAGGCGCCGTAGTAATATAGGTAACGGAAAGTAAATATTGCGTACCTTTCACTGAGGAAAAAGCGGTTTACCTTTACATCAGCAGCTGCTATCAGTAGACTAGAAAATAAACATATCAGTATAGTTTAAATCATGGCAGAGGAAAATTATAAGAGTTCGACTTGGAATAAGCAACTAACGCACCGATACTTACCATCAGCTGTTTGTACCAAGGTACAAGTTCAATATGACGATAAATTACAAATTATAAAATATGCTCATTGTTAAGAGTGCGCATATTTATTAAGGGGCAATGTATAATTTTAAGGCGACGTCATGCGTATACATTTATTCGTATGCATTGGCGGAAATCGTCCTCCCAAAAGTCCGTTAAGCCCCCTCCTTTTTTGGTTTTGTAGGTTCGAAGCCCCCCGCTTACATTTATGTTAATAATGTTAGCCCCTTGAAATTTTAATGGATTTCCACGTATGATAGTAATGCAGTATGAACAAAATGTTAAAACACAAGGGCACAAGGCGCGTGTTGAACATACTTCTTATTTCATACGAATTATAAATCGGTTGATGGCTTTTTTAGATTTGAAACGGAGCAATGAATGCCTAAATAGTTTAACAATGATGTGCATCATTTGTTTAAAATAAAAATTTGATTTGTAATTTGCATAGATATTTAAATGAAAAATAACGATATGTTGAAATTAATGAAAATCAAAAGGTTTTTTATAAATTTATTTTGCTAACAATTTGTCCAGTTTACCACTATTGGTGCATTGGTGCAGTAGTGCACTCAATTACTGTGCACATTTTGTACGCCATGTAAAAATTAAAACAAGTCGAAACACTCGAAAACCTGCGTTATAATGGAATTGATGTGCACATTCGTTTCTGTGCACATAACAACGAGTGCCACATGGAATTATCAACTCGAATTTCGAATTAAGCAATCAAAATGTTGACTTGCATCTTCAAAATTTCGACATATCAATTCGAAATTTTGACTTAACAACACGAAATATCGACTTAAAAACATGAAATATCAACTTACCAACACGACATTTTGTGAATTTTATATAATACTTAATGAGCACTTACAAAGTCCAGAAATCTTTGGAATTTACCGTAGTCACAGTAATCACTATACTTAATAAAAACTCTATACTCAATAAAAAAACCTTGATTGAATAAAACAAATCTAAATAAAAAGTCTATATTTGGTAAAAAAAATCTATACTACATCAATTCAATTTAATTTAGATTTTTAGGTTTTTTTTATCAAATTAATTTAAATTTACATTTTCAGTTTCCAATTTTATTAGTTTTTTTTTCTATGAAAGTCAATAAAACTTTATTTGTTGAGTAAAAATACTTGAAAATTGAATACAAATTGTTACAATGACATTTGAAAATATTAAAAATCCTTAGTCACAGTTTCTTTTTATAAGGATTTAAAGTTCAAAAATTGAAAAAATATGGAAAAATTACGAAAATTAGATAATATTGATAAATCGAAATTTTGAAGATGAAAGTTAAAATTCTGAGTTCTTAATTCGAAATTCCTAGTTAATAATTCGAAATTTCTAGTTTTGAAGTCGAAATTGTTACGCATTTTTTTTCTTATGGCACTACTGCGCTTTCGTACATAACCAATTAAATTGTTTTCAGAGAATTATTTTCGACGTCGCCGCGCCGTTTCGCGTCGGCATAGGCATTATAATTTATTTTTACACTCATTCGTTTATTATATTCCGATTACCTATCAGCTGATAAATAATGTTGGTCGATCATTATCGAAAATTCAAAACAACAATATCGTGTTTCTGTTTAAAAATTTAAACAAAATAAATGCTTATTGGTGAAAAACTAAATTGTGTAAACAATTATTTAATACAATTTATATTATATATAACTATTATCTGTATAATATATATGTATAATATTGGTTATATTTGTTTTGGATGTGTACTACTTCATTAAAAACCCACTAGCCGCCACTGACTAGGTTAGAGTTATCGATACTACCAATAGTGCTTCGGTTGTAAAATTGATATGTGAAGACACTAAGACAGAAAGCGGGCCAGTGAGTGGTGATCGTGTGACTCGATGGCCACTGGACGTCAAAGTTTTATAAAAGTGCTTATTAAAGTGCTTATTATAATTAAAAGGTTAGTTTATTTGTATACGTCTGTGATCTACGTATACGCAGGCACGTCACCAAGGAGGGGGTCTTAGGGGGCCTGGCCCCCTAAGAAAAGTCAGTGGCCCCGCGCCGGCCCCCTTAATTTTATTTTCAAATATTATGGCTATTAATTGTTAGTTTAGTACAGTAACACATTAATATTTAAATTTGTAATAAACTTAGACTAATAAACTCATACGATTATAAACTTCTACAAAGCCTGTGTTATTCCATATTTTAGATTCTGAGCGGAGCGATGAATGTATTGGTTTTACAATGATGTGTGTTTTTATATTTTTATATTTTTATATTTTTGTGTCTGTCATCACGTTTTGGGACAGTAAAAGTGCTTCGATTTTCTTCAATAGTATCTTTTCTGATAGGAAAGTGAATCTAGTTCTAAGATTATCTACCTTTATCAATAAAAAAATCTCTACCGGACAGTCAAGTTAAATTTTTATGAGCGTTTGAAATTCAAATTTTTACAACATTGGATATTCACTCGATTACTCATGTAGCGATTTCCTTATTTTGTTGCAATTCAAAAACGAACAACTGTAGATACATGAAAATTTCACTCAATGTTTAAATTAGCATTTTCTATACACCATACAATTTTGAAAATATTTTGACTCTTTTTGAGATGTTTATGGACATTTACAGCTTTCAATTTTTTTTAGTTTTTTTTTCTATAAATATCAATAAAGTTTTATCTGTTGGGCCAAAAAGTGTAAAAATTTAATACAAGGCTCCTGATATACTGTTACAATAGCAGTTGAAAAATATTAAAAATACATAGGCACAGTTTTTTTTTATAAGCATTTAAAGATCAAATTTTGACAAAATTTTTCAAAATCTCGAAAATTATCAATCATTGAAATTAATAAATTATAAAATGTTCAGTTTTTATAGCTAAGGATTGCAAATTTAAAACAAAGGTTCTCATAAATAGTTCATACTGTAACCAAAAAATCTAAAAAATATATGAACACAGTTATTTTTTACAGACATTTTAAATTCAAATTTGGACGAAATTACATATTAAAAAACCTAGAATAACTATTTTAGTTATTTTGTTGTGATTGAATAATATTATTCGTGGGTACTTGAAACTTCTAAAGTGTACTATTATATATCTATGATAGTATCACGGTTTTGTTGATGTATAACGCGTTATAAGTACCTAATGGACATTGTGATATGATTAATTTGGAATTTATTATAGGTACCTATTATAGGTCAATTTTTTGTTTAATACCATAGATATGTATATAATATGTCTTAAACATAGACTGACATACCGTCTCCGCTCAGAATCGTTTTTCTTATACAATGATATTATATCGTTGAATTCAAATTTAATATCATACATTATACAGTGACCCACTTGTAACCTACTGTACAGCAGAGCGACACCCACTTGCCCACCTTTTTTTTTTTTATAAGCATTTAAAGATCAAATTTTGACAAAATTTATCAAAATCTCGAAAATTATCAATCATTGTAATTAATAAATTATAAAATGTTCAGTTTTTATAGCTAAGGATTGCAAATTCAACACAAAGGTTCTCGTAAATAGTTCATACTGTAACCAAAAAATCTAAAAAATATATGAACACACTTATTTTTTACAGACATTTTAAATTCAAATTTGGACGAAATTACATATT